CTCACCAGAGTGCACTAATGGCACAGTGCATCTTTATCATCATTAATTCAAGTCGACTGATATTATTATCGTATTGCGATAAATTCCATTTTGTTATAATAAAGGAATAGTTATAATCAAAATTGTATTTTATTAAATCTGATGGAAGAACATTGACAATTTGATTCAGATATAATACACTTCTGCTCTCGAACAGATGAACTGTTCTGAAGTAAAGACCTCTTGGATATTATTGTTGTATAGTCAACCTTGCGCAGAGGCAATATCGTAACCAATGAAGGTCTACTGAGGTGCGATTATTGCTAGTTGAAAACTTTTACCAATACCCCGCCATGGGCTTGTGAAATACCAAGCTTATCGGCAATTTTTGGAAATCCCTACGGGGATTCATGAATGGAGTTCAAACAAATAATGGGCATCAAGTTCTACGCTGATTTAATCGATATAAAATTATATTAATTCGATAATTGATACTCCATTCAACTTAAATTTCTTCCTGTGTTACTAGCATTTGAAGTGATGGCAAGAAAACAATAAACATGGCGGGCTGAAAGTCCTGCTACGCAGTTTCGCCACTCTTCGTACTTTACTCTCTCTCATTTTTGTCTGAGAAAATTAAATAAGATTTTTTTAAATCAGTTGAATTGCTGAATTCCTTCGTATGTTTCCAACATTTTATAATTTATTTCTAAATTTATCTTATCAACATAGCTGGAAATGAAGGGAATACGTCGATTTCCTCAAAAACTACTTAACTAATTACACCATATTAATTTACTTAAGAAATTTTACTACACATTGGACTCTGTGCTAAATGGTTTTAAGAATAACTGCTCGAACAAGGTCAGTCACCGACTCAACAAACACGCAAAATTTTAACTATAACTTTATTATGCTCTAGCAATTAAATAACGAGAAAAGTAGTGTGAAGCCGCTTGGAAATGACTATTTTTTTAAGAATTTTATATTATTGTTATTACTTTACAGAATCCTGATTTGTAAGTAAAAGATTGATATCACCTCAAAATAATAAAGGGGTTTAAATTTTCCATGTTTTTTTATTGAGTCGGTATCTCGGATTTCAGTATAAAAATTTTGGCGAAATTATTCCGATTTATCGCAAAACTGCTTAGCGTACTTTTTTTTTTTTTTTGTCTGTTTATTGATAAATAGTACATTTTGCCACACTTAAGGGCACTGAGTACTAAGGCTGAGTGAGGCACATTCATACCATATATACAATACCATAAAAAATAAATAAAAAAACATATATATATATATATATATATATATATATATATATATATATATATATATATATAACAAAGGCAAAAACTATAATAAACCAAGGAAATTAACTTAGAGTTAAAATAAAATGAAATACAGAAATTCGTAGCAAAATTAAATAAATTATAAGTAATAGAAATAAATAGAAAAACATTCATACTTAAATACAATATTTACAATCAGGCTAGAGGTCTCCTAGTCCAGACCTTTAGCCCACGTGTGAAGGACAAAGCGAGACTCTCAGAGATCCCAGCGCTTCTCTCTCAACCGCGTCGCCGGCATTACCTGTCCGGTGGAGACTGAGAGAGGAGTGGAGGAGTGGAGACTAAAACCACAAAAACTCATGACTTGAATGGAGAAGCTGGCCATTGCCAGAACTCCAGTGACGTCTTTACAAGAGATCTCGAGGCCACTGCCGTTTCAACCTTCGAGTAGGATTGTAGGGATGACTGGAGCTAGATAAGGATTGTGCTAAAGGATTAGGTTCATGTGAAAATTTGAGAATCGGGATGGAATAACGCCAAGGATATAAGGGATGTAAAGGTCCATGATGTAGGGTTTTGTTTGTAACGTAATAAGGAGCATTGACTATCATACGGAGGACTTAGGACTGCAAGGATTGGATGTGTTTGATGTTCAAAAATTTAGTTGTCCCCCACAGTTCAAGTCTGTAGGTCCAGATGGGTTTCCGCAACGGACTTGAAAGGAACGATTTGAGAGGTAGGATTTGAGAACTAGGTACAAGGATTGGTGTAGGTGAGTTTTGAGCTTGAAAAGCAAGCCATCAAGCCATCCCCGGTCGAAAGCTTTCGCTACGTCCAGAAAGGAACCGGTGCAATATTGCTTGTTTTCAAGAGCGTACTTCTAGAGCCACTTAAAGTTCTGTCTGCTAATTAACTTGGGATTCAGCTGGGTGGTTTTTTAGGATATCAACTTTTTTATTTTACCCCTGGCTATTTTATAATATGTTGAAGACAGAAATAAATTATAAAATGTTGGAAACATAACATAAGAAGGAATTCAGTATTCAATTGATTTTGAAAACTATAATAAATTTTCCCGGGAAAAACCTTTTATCTGTTTTCCTTACAAGAATGAGAGGACAGTATGAATTTAGTTAACAAACTGTGCAGTTGAAACGCTGCTGAATTTCCATCACTACAAATGCCAGCAATACGGGCACAATTTAAATCATGAATCATAATTCCATTTGAACATATTATTTAATACATAAAACAAAACTATCAAATCTTGGATCTAACTAAACATAAGCATAATTTACGCGGCCACATAATAACTTGATCTCCATTCATGAATCCCCGTAGGGATTTGCAAAAATTGCCGATAAGCTTGGTATTTCACAAGCCCATGGCGAGGTATTGGTAAAAGTTTTCAACTAGCAATAATCGCACCTCAGTAAACCTTCATTGGTTACGATATTGCCTCTGCGCAAGGTTAACTATGTAATAATAATATCCAAGAGGTCTTGTCTTCAGAACTGTTCACTTGTTCGAGAGCCGAAGTGTATTATATCTGAATCAAATTGTCAATGTTCTTCCATCAGATTTAATAAAATACAATTTTTATTGTAACTATTGATTTATTATTATTACGAGTTTATTAAAAAATTTAATTGATCGCAATACATTTATAATATCAATCCATTTAAAGAAATGATGATGACGCTGTTCTGGGCTGGTAGTGCGCTCTGGTGAGGAAAGTTCTAACTCCCAGAGAGAGACGAACCATGACCTAGGCCACTACCAACTACAAAAACAGGAAAGTGCAGTAGCTTAGTGCCGGATGGATATTTTCTCCAGTTCCGCGCAACGTAATATTAATATATTTACTAAATTTAGGAGGTCAGTAGGTATTATTTTTTTTCCTTTTAATCTCGTTATTCAAATTAACATTATCTAATTATCTTTCTAGGATAAAAGGGTAGTTTATCACTTTGCATTTTTAACGTAGGTAACAATACCACTATCTTTTATATTATTTCTCAAATATAGATCCCTTTTCCGGCTCTCAGGAGTATGACGAATGAGGTGAGGTATCAATAGAAAGGGAATATCACGTAGAGTGTGCGAATCAGAATTTTGTTTTCTAATTTTATACCTGGACTTGAATAAAAGTGAAATGTTTCTAACCACATGATGGTGCTGTCTCAACGAATCGAGACGTTACAAAGGAATTCACAATTTGCAAATAACTCGAAAAGTACGTAATATTTGGTACATTATACGTATGAGTATTTGAAACTTATTACATTACCTACAAAACGTTAAATATGAATCAATGTTGCAAATTTATTATTTCCAGTGACGTTATATTAACAATTAAATTGAGTTGAAGAGAACACAAAAAGAGGTTTCCGTTAGCGTATGTTTTGCTGGCTTATTCAGAATAACCAGTTATCAATACGATATTATACAACTGTGTGAATAATATCATATTATAATATCTGTGGGTGATTCAGGTATACACACAGTCCTCGCCATCAGGTATCGTTAGGGCATTAATTATTGTAATTTGAATTCATGATTCCAAATAAATTAGTTAGGTTATGAAGAGGAAAACTGAGGTGTGTGTTTTAGACCACACGATAGAAATGAGAACATCATGACGAGATTATTAATATGAAATATAAATTACAGCACATTATAAAGAAAATTAAATGTTCAACGCTTCCCTCGCTTTCAGTATGCATGTCTGATTTATAGTTTTAGAGATATTTTAATCCATTTATTCAATAAAACTCGTCATAATTTGGTTTTCGACATTTTTTCCCCCCTTTTCGGCTCTCTACCACGACGCCCCGTTGAGATACAATCTCGGGTAATAGCTGATTACAAAGAAGATGTTGAACGTTCTAGAACTACAACAACAACACGGTTGTTTGAATAACACAGGAGATTTATGTATACACACAGTGACATTATCCCTATCAGGTAACATTAGAACATTATAGTATTTTAAGTTCATGATCAAAAATAAATTAGATAGGATTATAAGAAGAAAAAAAGAAGAGAAAAACTAAGGTGTGTGCTTTAGATCATAAATATAGAGAAGTAAAAACATCTACAAAGAGAGATAAATAATATGAAATATAAATTATAAATAATAGCTCATTATAAAGATGATGAAATGTTGATCATTTCCCTCGCTTACAGTATGTAGGCCAGATTTATTGTTTCTGTGATATTTCATTCAATATCTTCAATAAAACTCGTTTCGTTTGGTTTTCGACACTATTTCTTCCCTTTTCGGCTCTCTAACATGGCCGATAAAATTCAAGATAAAATTTTGAGTAATAGCTGATTACAAAGAGAATGAAATTATGAACGTTTCCTTCGCTATCAATATGTAGATACGAATTTTAGTTTAGGAGATATTTTTATCCATATGAAAAACTCTCCAATTAGTCAACTCCAGTCGACTTTATCCGAGCGTTACACATCGGAGATGTGACCGCTTAATCTAATTCACTCTCAACAAAAGAAGTGCTTCTTTCAATATTTCATTCTTCTATTCTAATTGCGTTTTGGGCGCAGTATCTTCTATTCTTGAAACCTAACTTGAAATTTTGTTTGCATTGAATTCTGTTTTCTTATTTTCTTTTGTCCAAATCTTTTTTATCCTTATGAAATGTCCTCGTTGAGGATTGGTTGCAACGTATCCAAGATTGCAGGTAGCATCGAGGCGTTAGTGTGCTAGACGTCCACTAGAGCGATCCACCAGTCACCCCTCTGGATTCCTAACGTGCTATCGAGATACGTCATTATAAATTATAAAAAATAAATATTATTTTATAGACATTAACGGAATAATTTAGGCTCATTGTAATAATAAAAAGTACATATACCTGACTTAGGAATATTACCAGCATTAGAAACCTCAGGTGGTGGAAATGGCCTCTCGTACAGGCGAGGAACCCTGAGGACTTGACCTCCTGCAGGCTCACCTTGCTAAGACCTTAGGTGACCTTTAAACTACGACTATCTACATTTTTTGGAATATCCCTTCAACTCAGTAAGGGATCGTAAATGTCATACACTCATTCGACGTACCTCCTTCTTACCTGAGGTAATGGTGGACAAAACTGCTTAACAGTAACAGTTGCAACCGTTTCTGCAACTGTAAAAAACGTCTGCCGAGTAAGATCAGTATAGTTTCTTCACCGTTTGAGTTGGCTCAAAAATGTCTATTATAGATCTACAATTTTTGGCGCGAGAATAAAATATCTGAGAGAGAAGCCGTTTTCGGAAGTTTTTTTTTTCCTAGCCCCTATGGATAATGATATTAATTATTACAAAAATGTTTGCTTGTTTGGCCTTTTGCTGAATCTGAGATTCATTTTAAAGCCTTTTTGTGATATATATTTTTTACGATTTTTTGTTAATCTTTAGATTAACATTTTTGGGAGTAAGAAGACGTTGGGGTACGTCTTCGTTATGAGGTTTTTGAACATAAAACTAAATCTAACCTAACCCTAAAACTAATATTATAAATTATAACTAAATCTAATATTTACATTATTTACACTAAAGCGTCCATATATCGCTTCTCTCCTAAAATGTCATCTGCCATCTTACTGGCGGGGGTGCAGGTGCTAATGTACTAAACAGTGGATTCGGTAAATATTTTAGTGAGTCCAGGAATTTAATATGCCTTCTCCTTATAAATTCCGGGACTGTTGGAATATCTAGTATGCGGTGGAGCTCTGGTGGTTTCTCTTTCTTCCACACCGTTGTTCTCACTATCTTTCTTAGCATCGTATTCTGGAAGTTCTGGAGGTGACGATGCGTAAATTCGGTAAGATGTGTGAACAGAGTAGTGCTGGTCTTAGTATTGCTTTATACACCTGCAGTTTGAGGCGCAGTGAGAGAGCTGAGGATGTCAGAAGATGGTGCAATCGGTAGGTTTTTCTCCTAATCGATCTTGTCTTCTTGTGTATGTGTGTAGTGAAGTGTAGGTGCCGGTCCAGAGTGATGCCCAGGTATACAATTGAGTTGGATGGTGTGATATTTTTGTTTGCCACTCGGAGATTTCTCGGTAGTCTATTCTTTTTCCCCTTCTGATGAGAGAACACTACACAGTCAGTTTTAGCTGGATTCACCTGAATGTTGAGGTTTTCCAGCTGTCGAACAATCTCATCACAGGTGTTTTCGGCCTGTTGTAGTGCTGTCTTGGGGTTTACACTGCGACTGTAGATGGCGATATCGTCTGCGTACGCAGCAACGGTGGCTGTTTTGTAGTTCTTGCCAACTACATCCGCTGTATAAATTGAGAACAGTACTGGCGAAAGGACTGCTCCTTGTGGCACACCGCACGTCAGGCGAATGGTGTTGGAATGCTCATCTTGTACTCGCACCGATAGACTTCTATTTTGGAGGAAGGAGGCAATGGTTGTGTATAGCTGCTCTGGGCACTCGAGATCTATAAGTTTATGGCATAGAATGCCATGAGACACAGAGTCGAATGCCTTTGTGCAGTCAATTGAAATCATGGCTGCTGCCTCGTTCCCGTTGAAATTGGTGTTTACCTCATGCTGTAGTTTCATGAGATGGTGTTCTGTGCTAAGTTGGGCTTGAAAACTGGTTTGCTCGTAAGGAATTACGGAGTGTTCATCACAGAATTCCAGAAGGTAATTCAGAATGATCTTTTCGTAAACCTTAGCGAGGTGCGGCAGCAAACTTATGGGTCTGTAGTGTTCTGGTTTGTCTCCCGGTTTAGCCGGCTTGAGGAGTGGAAACAGGATAGCATGCTTCCATTTCTCGGGGAAGTATCTCAGCCTCAAGCACGAGTTGTACAAGTTCGTGAGATGAGCAATTCCTTTGCGTGGCAGTTGTTTAAGGAGAACTGTCTGTATTCCTTCATGACCAGGAGCCTGGTTTCCATGTGATCTCCTAAGTATGGCTTTAAGTTGTTTCGGGCTGACGAACATGTAGTTGTCCTCTCTGGTCATATCGGGAATCGAGAGCTGATTTCCTGTCCGTTCAATGATGTGTTCCTCCTTATCGATGCTTATTCTCTTTAATAACCTGAGGGATCCAGAAAGCACCGTTATTCGGTTCAAAAAGGAATCTGCTTTGGAGGCGACTTGTATTTACGATCCCTTCTTAGTTTGAAGGGATGTTCCAAAAAATAAAGCTTTAAATCACAGGCAGGAATCGGGCTTACATGACTCCTAAACCTGAAGAGAAACCTTCATGAGGTCAAGTCCTCAGGGTTCCTCGCCTGTACGAGAGGCCATTTCCACCACCTGAGGTTTCTAATGCTGATGATATTCCTAAGTCAGGTAAATGTACGTTTTATTATTACAATGAGCCTAAATTATTCCGTTAATGTCTATAAAATGATATTTATTTTTTATAATTTATAATGACGTATCTCGATAGCACGTTAGGAATCCAGAGGGGTGACTGGTGGATCGCTCTTGTGGACGGGTAGCACACTAACGCCTCGATGCTACCTGCAATCTTGGATACGTTGCAACCAATCCTCAACGAGGACATTTCATAAGGATAAAAAAGATTTGGAGAAAAGAGAATACAATGCAAAGAAAATTTTCAAGTTAGGTTTCAAAATCGGACCTGTATATTGTTAGCGAGGGAACGTTCAACATTTTATCTTCTTTGTAATCTGCTATTACCCGAAATTGTATCTCAAAGCGGCGTCGTGTTAGAGACCCGAAAAGGGGAAAATAATGTCGAAAACCTAATTATGACAAGTTTTATTGAATATATGGATTAAAATATCTCAAAAACTATAATTCAGCATACGCATACTGAAAGCGAGGGAAGCGTTGAACATTTCATTTTATTTAAAATGTGCTGTTATTTATATTTCATATTATTAATCTCGCCATGATGTTCTCATTTCTATCTTGTGGTCTAAAGCACACACCTCAGTTTTTCAACTAATTTATTGGAAATCACGAATTTAAAATACTATAATTAATGCCCTAATGTTACCTGATGGGGAGGTCTGTGTATAACTGAATTACCCACAGATAATATAATAAGATAATATTCACATAATATTAAATAATATATTATTCACACAGTTGTATAATATCTGATTGATAACTGGTTACTCCGAATAAGCCAGTGAAACATACTGTAACGGAACCTCTTTTTGTGATTTTCTCAACTCAATTTAATTGTTAATGTTACGTCCTAACATCACTAAAAATAGTAAATTTGCAACATTGATTCATATTTAACGTCTTGTAGGAAATTTAATAAGTTTCAAATACTCATACGAATAATATACCAAATATTACGTACTTTTCGAGTTATTTACAAATTGTGAATTCCTTTGTAACGTCTCGATTCCTTGAGACGGCACCATCATGTGGTTAGAAAGATTTCACTTTTATTCAGGTCCAGGTATAAAATTAGGAAACAAAATTACGATTCGCGCACTCTACGTGATATTCCCTTTATATTGATACCTCATTCGTCAATATGCATCACTCCAGAGAGACGGAAAAGGTATATTTGAGAAATAATATAAAAGATAGTGATATTATTACCTACGTTAAAAATGTCCAGTGATAAACTACCCTTTCATCCTAGAAAGTTAATTAGAAAATGTTAATTTGAATAACGAGATTAAAAAGAAAAAAAATAATACCTAATGACCTCCTAAATTTAGTAAATATATTAATATCACTTTGCGCGGAACTGGTTAGAATATGAATCCGGCACTAAGCTACTGCACTTTCCTGTGTCCGGAGTTGGTAGTGGCCTAGGTCATGGTTCGCCTCAATCTGGGAGTTGGAACTTTCCTCACCAGAGCGCACTACCAGTCCAGAACATCGTCATCATCATTTCTTTAAGTGGATTGATATTAATATTGTGTATTGCGATCAATTCAATTTTTTAATAAACTCAGAAAAATAATAAAGCAATAGTTATAATGAAAAATGTCTTTTATTAAATCTGATGGAAGAACATTGCTAATATGATTCAAATATAATACGCCTCGGCTCTCGAACAGGAGAGCTGTACTGAAGACAAGACCTCTTAGATATTACTATTATATAGTTAACCTTGCGCAGAGGCAATATCGTAACCAATGAAGGTCTACTGAGGTGCGATTATTGCTAGTTGAAAACTTTTACCAATACCCCGCCATGGGCTTGTGAAATACCAAGCTTATCGGCAATTTTTGCAAATCCCTACGGGGATTCATGAATGGAGATCAAAGAGTTCATATGGCAGCAAAATCTATGCTTAATACAATATTAAATTGTGTAGTTCCAATATTTGATAGTTCATGTATTAGATTAATATATTCATATGGAATTTAGATTTATGCATTAAATTCTGCAAGTATTAATGGCAAAAAAACAAAAGGTGCACCGTTTCGTCACTGCGTTTGTACTGTCTTGGAAGCAGGTGGAAAGTTTTTAACTGAAGAAAATTTAATATAATTTTCAAAATTAATTGATTTACTGAATTCCTTCTTATGTTTTGTTTTTTATAATTTATTTCCAAAGGAAGGAGATGGTCCGGGGTTGCGGTCATAAATAGACTAAAATAGTGGCAAAACTATTTTATTAAAAGCCAACGTTTCGATCCGACTTTGAAGGTCTTCTTCAGGGAGGTGTGTTGAGTTCTAAGTGAAACTCTTAGCTGAAAACACCTCCGTGAAGAAGACCTACAAAGTCGGATCGAAACGACGCTTTTAATAAAATATTTTTGTCACTATTTGGCCTATTTATGACCACCACCTCCTTCCTTTATAATGCAACCATCAACTTTTAAATATTCAATATAATTTATTTCCATATTCAACTTATCAAAATGGCTGAAAATGAAGGGAAGAAGTTGATATCCTCAAAAAACACGTAGATAATTATCAAGTTAATTAGTGTACACATTCTTAACACAACTTTAAGGGGCTCTAGAAATACGCTAAGCAGTTTTGCGGATAACAGGAAATAACTTCGCAAAAATGATGGGCCTGAAATCCGAGATACTTCTCAGACAACTACTCAATCAATAAACATGTAGAATTTAAACACCTTTATTATTTTGAGATGATATGAGCCTTTTATTTTGGCTGGATATACCGGAATGTGAGCATCTCAAACTGTTGAAAAACGCAAAATGCATTTCCCTAAAGTGCTGCACCCAATAGCACTGCCGCGGTATTATAAATAAGGAATCTGTAAAGTAATAACAATGATATAAAATTTAGGCATTTCTAAGTTCTGAACATAGCCCTTCAAATAAAGTTTTTCTTTTTTATTTCTTAATAATATTTACAACTTTATTAAAGAAATACATGTAGTAAATTTCAACGTATGGTTATAACGACGTGAAAACACTTGTTGAGAAACTACACAATGGTAGCACTCTAATGATATGTCTACATTAAGAGACCAAGAGGCCATCTTCTTTTCAGACGTTTCGGAGGGATATCAGGAATTGAAGAGGAAGTAAGGTTAGAAAAGAGAGGGTTGGGATGATTCTGAAGTTTATTATGGAAGGACATGTATTTGGATTTTTCCAGATCTGAAACATTAAGGTCATTATGGATGGTTTCATTTGTAACAAAGTAGGGAGCATTAAGCATTTTACGAAGGATTTTGGTTTGTAAGGATTCGATAGGAGACGAATTGATGGTTTAATGGAGCCCCATAGCTCAATTCAAGTCCAATCAAGTCCAAATGGGTCTCATTATATTCATGTCTTTTGTAATTAATTTTTACAAGTTTAGAGCTTTTGTCTAGTAACTGCTGAAGTATTCGGAAAAGTCGAGCGGCTGAAGTCTGGTATTCAAATAAGGTTAGAGTTAAAATTTTGCATGTTTGCAAAGTTATTCTTAAAATTAGTTAGCACAGAGTCCTATGTGTGGTAAAATGTCTTAAGTAAATTAATTTGGTATAATTAGTTAAGTAGTTTTGGAGGAAATAGACGTATTTCCTTCATTTCCAGCTATGTTAATAAGATAAATTTAGAAATAAATTATAAAATGTTAGAAACATAAAAAGGAATTCAGCAATTCAACTGATTTAAAAAAAATCTTATTTAATTTTCTGAGAAATAAATGAGAGAGCAAAGCACGAAGAGTGACGAAACTGAGCGTCAGGACATTCAGTCCACCATGTTTATTGTTGTTGTTGTTTTTTTTGCCGTTACGACAAATGCTAGTAACACAGGCAGAAATTAAAGTTTGAATGGAGTATCGATTATTGAACTAATATAATTTTATATACAACAATCAGCGTAGAACTCGATGCCCTCTATTTGTTTAATTTCCATTCATGAATCCCCGTAGGGATTTGCAAAAATTGCCGATGAGCTTGGTATTTCACAAGCCCATGGCGGGGTATTGGTAAAAGTTTTCAACTAGCAATAATCGCACCTCAGTAGACCTTCATTGGTTACGATATTGCCTCTGCGCAAGGTTAACAAGATATTAGTAATATCCAAGAGGTCTTGTCTTCAGAACAGGTCCTGTGTCCACGAGTACACCTTCATTATCGGTGGTTTTCAATAATTCTAAGAAATATTGTAACAGAAAAACATGATTTCTCAGTTATTAAACCTCCAAATACTTAAAAAATACATACAATCTTATCATTATTGTCTGTAATTTATAATAATGTAGTTTGGTAATTAGTTACCAGCCCAAGGTATGAGGAACTGGTGGATCGCTCTAGCGGCCAGGTAGAACACTAACAGCTCAATGTTACCAATAGACTGGTGACGACAATGAAATAAATTAATAAATATGTTATATTATAAATATGACATTTTGATTCTTTTCATCCCTTGTATTCACAAAATTCGTTTTGATCAACTTTCAACGACTGTGAAAAATTTGTAATTATGGTTTGTAATTTCGAAATTCAAAACAAACAATTTTTTTTGTATATAAAAATGTATTTGCGCCTGTCAACTTATTGTTGATAATCAGCAAATGTGATGGCAAAACATTATATAATGACATGACAGGCATGGGGAAGGATAGTACTCAGCAGTACCTCTTCCCTAACTTGTTAAAATTATATAGGTTCTCTAAGGAAGGAGATCCCTCATCCAACGCCTTTTTAGTCTCCTGCTCATGTTCTGAGGTATGTCAGCTGTGGCCATGTCTCTTATTAGTCTGTTATTATGTCCGTTTAAATTGGTGTAAAATTGTTGATAAATGTAGAGTATGTAGAGTTAATTACTAAAAATTACTTTTCCAAGTAAAGCATTAAATATTCTAATACCTCTCCACTCTTCTAAAGGTGTTCAAAATGTTGATTAGTAATTAGCTTAAATCACTCAAATAAACGAATATAGTCCAATGAAAAAAATATTTTCAGATCTGCCAGTGAATATTATGTTATACTTCTTTCAATATTTTATTCTTATTTTCTACACACCGTCCTCGCCATCAGGTAACGTTAGGGAATTAATTATAGTAATTTAAATTCATGATTCCAAATAAATTAGTCAAGTTATGAAGGGAAAAACTGATGTGTGTGTTTTAGATCACACGATAGAATAGA